GTGTCTAGGATTGCGGCTGGTCACTCTGCCCCTGTACCTCACGAAATGCTCCCATATGACCAAACATATCAAATAGCCTCTCCCTCACTTCTTTCTCGTGGCGTTGAGAGGACGAAAAGCCGACATCCGGATTGGTGGACCGCTGGCGATTCACCTCGGGGAGTTGGCCAAAGCCCTGATTCCAAACCAACCGAGAGGAGGCGCACGAACCGCACACAGCTTCCCGGTTGCAGCAGTGGTCACCGGCTCGATTGGGCATCAAGGTATATTGAGCACCTTGGACTTTGGACCCCGTCCAAAGGGCGTATGATCTGATGAACTGGACATCGGCTCCCAATGGATTGCGGTTTTCAAACACCGCCCCGCTGCCTTGCGGGTCAGGCTTTCGCTAGCCGAAGGCTCCGGTTGTGGATTACTCAAGAAAATTCACCTGCCTTGATCTGGGCAACTTGGGAGTACTCAATCCACATGCAAATCATGGAGCGTTTTTCTTTTTCATAAAGATTATTGTACCATGATTTGTTTGGCACATAGTCTGGATTGAGACGTGTGTGAAACTATATAAATGTAGACTGGTCCACACATGTTCCGAAACTTTCCCAGTATTAAAATGCTGTTTTCTTTTTCACTCAAAGCCTGTACACAACTTACTAATAGCTAGAGTGAAAATATCACACGAGCAAAGTGGGTTAACACTATACGACCGTATGATTTACGACTATAGATAGATCCGGATTTGCAAAACCGGGAAGACGATTTAGGCCATCAAGTGTATTCATGCCCTTATCTTAGATAGCGGTCTGATTCCCATTTACCCAATTGACTTCGCGACTACCAACTGAATCAATGAACATCAACACAACCGCGCAGTACGCAACCCTTGCATGCCCCAGTCATCGCAATGTCAAGAAATTTAACTGGCGTACAACCACATTTAGTAATTCATATCCTTCATCAATGTCTATTGGTTTGTGATGACAGACTAGCTTACTTACTTTGCTGCGCCTGGCTCCATGGAACGGATAAGTCGGCTCCCAACATGATCATAATCATGAAGTTCCCAGGGAGTTTGGCATGAGAAACGTTCCCAGCGTCACTCAGCGTTTTTCACTTTGCGGGCGCACCTCTAGTCTTACTTAATACACCACCAAGTGCGAACTGCAAGGCAGCAGGAAGGAATCCCTCGCCTCGGAAGTGAGGGGGTCAATGATTTTAGTTTTAAAAGGCCAGTCGCGTCGACCTTTGTCACGACACCGTCATTGGGCTTATGCGGCTTTTAAACAGGAGCCAGGTGACCAGCCTGAAATCCACCACACCCTGGTAGCGCCGCCGCTGTTTATTCGCGACTGCTTATTTGTTGCGGTATGCCACAACGTATTCTCATCTAACGTTCTTCAGTGAAGGTATCCACAACCCGGGGACGCGTCTGGTAGCATTCAGGTCTGCTGAACCCGGGGGTATTCAGACAGACTACTGTGATGCGGCGAACACATCAGGTGTTCAAGCACCGATTGTCTGTGCTCACCTACGCGTTAAAGCAAAACCCCAAATGTCTCCCGTTAGCAAACACCAGAAAACTCGTCTACATATCTGACAGCCTTTTGGGATTCGTTTGTCACGAGAGATGTAAATGCATCCAATGAACAAGACCCGTTCATTTTATCGCTATTATCCCTGCATTGATGGAGTGATAGTGGCTCATAGGGGGACACTGATTTAACGAAACAGAATAAAAACACAGGTTGGATTGCAAGAAAGGGAGCCGTTTGGTGTTGCATGGATTCCCGTGGATGTATTTCACATACTAATTTGCTTTTCAGGATAACAACTTTAATCCTTTGAAAAAAGATTGAACTTCCGTTTTCGGATACGGTCGAGTAGCCAGAGCGGTGGCCAAATTTTCTGGCTGTTCAATCCACATGAAGTGTTCCACCTGGGCTGAGGACAATTTTGAGGCCAGTGACTTCAATTCGATCTCGTCGGAAATGCCGAGGATAACTTTATGCATTCGGTCAAGCTGTTCCAAATAAGTCACGGTCTCTGTTCGATCCCGAAACGTGTGCATAGCTGCGGTCGCTGCGTGGCAGCCTTGAGCAACCACCGCGCCGAGAGGCCAATTAAGCATCGAAATGAGATCCCGTCGAATCACTATATACTGGACAAGGGTGCTCATGATCAAATGCAATCGCCTCGGGAAATCTGCAATTGACAGGAAAACGAAAATTTCATTAGAATAATCTTTAGGTCGGTTGTATGAAAACCACAAGATTTATTGTGCTCGTTAAGAACGCGCACACTGTGTTGAAATTTGACGAAAAGAATATCACACACAACGGGACAGTACACGCTTCACTCATGCATCATTAGTTACAATGAGGTCCGGTGAACGGACAAGATGTTCGCGAACATTTCAGTGGCCAATATAACCCACTGACTCATTTATTACACGTTTGAATGAGCTGAACAGCAGGAACGATGTGTTGTGTTCGGTCTACAGATAAACGATTGACACAAGCGCCTCTTGCTTGACCCGTAAAAACAACAATGCGGAGGGAGAATACATATCGAGACAACGGTCAGAGAGTTGTTGATGATTAACGTTCCCCAAGCAAATATATCGGGTACATTAGGCATACGAGAACGGTACAGAGACGCAGCCAATCAGACTGTGCTCTTGCCATTCCGATTGATCGATCGGACTACCGCTGACTGATTCATTCGGCAGTCATCCAATCCTGATTCAGCCTGCCTGGAGCGTCGCGAGCGTGCTGTTGGCGTGACGGGTTTGTTGAGCTCCGTCCGAACACGGCGAACCCCAGGACTATGAGGATCTATTATGAGGACAGAAGAACTAAGCCCTGGGTAGCGATCTACATGAGGCCCAACAAGAAAGGTACAGCATTGAGCAGGAATAACGCAATGGTGAACCTGACGGTACATCTCTATCGTGTCGGGCTACATTTGTCGTTAGCGTTGATTTAATGAGACAACGCAACAAAATGACTGTTTGGTTTCACTTACCCGGGACTTTGTAAACTAGGTAAACCACGTGATTTGGGAGCTGCTTGTCATTGGACCGTGATTAAAACAGCATGCTCCAGGTTGATTTAACGTAACACGATCCTAATGGGACCATTGGATGGCATGAATTTTCACGGTATACGTTTACTTCAACGAGTTGTGAATCTATATGTATTCATTTGGCTCAACACTGAACTAAGGTGGTGCTAACTGCCTGCAGAACACTGAACCTAGCCGTGCTATGCTTCAAAAAATTAGGGTAAAATGAAACAGTCTGTATGAACACGATTGTGACAAAAACAGTTTCTCGTTCATTCAAGTCTGATCGATCGATTTTACAAGACAAGCTCATACACATATCCGATACGATCAACTGGAAAGAATATCACAGATAGGAACAAAATGGACGCGGTCACGATAGACAAGAGAGTATCAAGATGTAACCGCAAGAATCAACCGTAAAACTGCTTTGCGAATCGAGAAGCATCACGGGTAGAACTAAAATTTTAGCTAGAATTATAAATAGTTTACAGAAAGAGGAAAAGTGAAATAAAATGTTGTTTATGCCCAACAAGAGGAAGCTTCGTTTAATTTATCAGATCGATTGATTTTTATCAATGAAGGGGTCATAAGAAATGGCTAGTGTCATTTCTATCAGAATAACGCATCCCAACTACATTTCACAAGTAAAGATTAGATAGAGAGAATATATATATATATATATATATATATATATATATATATATATATATATGGAATGTATTATTGTGCTTGTGAAGCTTGAGGTGTTTGTCTACCTGCCTATTTGTCTACGCATTTCCCGCTCTTGCTTGCTTTCATCGACCTATGGACCGGAAAAATGTGAGCCTATTACAAAAAACATTCTGCCTAATTCATTGCGAGCTTATTTACCCTACCTATGACTCACAAGAACAACTTCAGCGGTAGAATCGAATAAACATTATAATCCCGAAAAACCACTGTTCGGTCAGGGAAAATCAACGATCAGAATGTATCAAGTGAGTGATGGAGGATTTGATTTGATTTCGAAGGTTATGAAATGAAAAACGGTCTGATCAGCTGCTCGGTGGCGTAGTGGGTAGCACGCTTGCGTTCTGCCCATGAAGTCCCGGGTTCGATCCCCAGTGGGGTCGATGGATTCGCACTGCTGATGAGACCCAAACAGGTCGAAACAGCTGTCCAGTGCTTCCTAGCTTTTCAGTTCACGTTTCGTTTGCCATATACACGACGAATAACCTTCGAGATCAGAATGTAGTTGGTACGTATATTGGCCAATGGGAAACAACGTGAAGGGACACAATGAGTAGGCTTGTCTGCATGTATAAGTGTTTACCTCAGTCATAGACACGAACCGGCGAGACAGGTCAAAGGGGGACAGGGTACGAGAGGGCGGAGGGCAATATCATGGGGAAGTTCTGTGCCGGTATGGAAGTGGTATGAAGAAGCAGAGTTTCACCAGAGTAGCTGACGGTTTGATTCGATTATATGATCAACTTCGTTGTGTACGGAGAAAATAAAGTGTGAAGAACACGGAACAGTGTACAGCTGTTTCGACCTTATTGGGCCTCATTAACGATGCAAACCCATTGACCCTTTCCAGTTCACGCCTTGTTTGCTTTGTACACGACTAAATCTGAGATTTTTTGTTTCAGATCAACCTGACAATATGGGGCGCGAAACGCTTTTAAGGTCACCCGGTTTTTTGTGTGTGGTGCTCTTTTACCCACAACGTTGAAATGTCGAGCGCTTCGTTCTTACCCAACACACTTATTCATTAGATTCGCAAAAGAAATTCACTCAAGCTGAATGAATATTGTGCATGATGAGCTCGATACCGGTAGGAAAATGCCCGCATTACGGAGATTACAATAATCTGTAAATATTCCCATGATGGCATTGAGAAAATGAGTCGGTGAGCAAACAGTTGTTTTCGGATATTCCTAGTCATGCTCTTACATATCATATGGTGTTAAAAAAATGCTTACTTAATGATAGCTATGGCGTACAATTTAAAGTCATTCATCTGAGGCAGAAAGTAGAGGATGCATGTGTAAGAACGGTCAGTGTGTTAGTTGATACAACCTTTCCACGCTTGGGTCCAAGGACACGTTTTGTTCTGTCTTGGTGTTCACACTAGGCCATGGTAATGGAAACGCTTGAACCAGTCTTATCTTTGTTCACACAAGTTCGGACGTTGAAAGAGGAATCGTGGTTGCCCCGGGCCCCGGCTAGTGCCCAAACTCGAGTCACTCGCGATCGAATGAGCGGGATGTCATAAACAACATCGAAAGTTTTCTCCGTTTCGATCTTGTGTCCGGTGTCGGCGAGATGACTTGCGATCGAGCTGGAGATATAGCCGGTTTTTCCCTGACTTTACCGTTGCGGGTGGTGTTCCTCAACGCTTTGAGACAAACATCTTACCATACGATCTATGTAACATGCGTCACAGATGCACCTGAAAGAGCAAAATTATCATGAATGAGGTCAGTTTGTCTTTCACTTGCATTCGCATCATCGGTGATGTAGAGAACAATGTTCTAAGTTTGGCTGTGAGGAAAGTGGAATTTACAGCCGCTCTCAATGAATGTACTAGGCTTTCTGAATGTGAGTCTACCTTAAATGGGATCGTTATGAGTAGTTCTATCTTGGGGTCACAGATGGGGTCTTCCTTCTCCAGAGTGAACCGAATATTTTTATCAGTTAACTTTCCCAGGAAAATCATTGTCCTGCAGCGTTTGGCAGACGAAGTGTAGTTCTTCATCCAGTGTCTGCTGAAAAAATTTTCTGGGCTTTGAAGGCTAGGCATCGGACTCGATTACGTTTGTATTGTAGAGGAATAAAACTATAGAAGTACATGTATTGGCCATTCCATGTCTTCTTTGTACGAATCTGTTTTCTCACTGATTCATCTTATCTTCTGGACAAGGCTACATTCAGAAAGGCCAATATGCTGTTTGTTTGAAACACTACTGTGGATTCCAGTTATGGATGTGTTCTGTTAAGCGACTCCAATGTCTGTGGGATGCTGTTTTCGCAATCGGTCTCACAGAAGATTTCATGCATATATCTGATGTAGTATGTTCAACCCTCAACAGTTGAGCTCAGCGTGCTCGTTTCTAGTTTAGCCTCGAAGGTGTCAGCTAGCAACGGACCGAGTGAGGATCCCATGACAACCTCGTCCATCTGACGATAAATAGTACCGTGAAATAGAAACTGGACGTTACGTGTGCAACGTAATAACAGTTCCTTCTAGGTTTGCGACTGGAATACCATCGTTTCCATTCAGC